TTTCTTATTCTCATTTTGTCAATATATTTTTTTTTTTTTTTTTTTTGGTTTAGGAGAGTCCTTGCGCGTTACCCTCATCCGACCCTCCTGCTACATTCAATCCCGGCGCTTCGTTATTGGAATTCTCCTCAAAGTGCTGCTGCTGCTGCTGCTGCTGCCGCTCGTGCTCGGCGCCCTGCGCGGTGTCCTCGGGCTCCTGGCTCTCGGCTGGGAAGCTCCCCCCGTCCTCGGCGCTGCCCGTGGGCGTTGGGGGCATGGCCCCGGCCTCCCTGACCCGCGGCTTGCGGCCCCTCCGCGACGGGATCCCGTTGCATCCATCTTTTTTAAGGTGCCTGTGCAGGTGGTCGGAGCGGACGAAAGTCTTGCAGCAGCTGTCGCACTGGTACGGCCGCAGCCCCGTGTGCACCCGCATGTGGTTCTTCAAGTCGTAGTTGTGGGCGAAGGCGGCCCCGCACTGCTGGCACAGGTAGGGCTTCTCCCCCGTGTGCTTCCGCATGTGCACCTTGAGCTTGTCCTGCCTGCGGAGAGCACGGCACGTCAGCCTGGGGGCGGCCACGGGGATGGGGGGCAACGGGGGACAGCGGGGCTGGGCATCAGAACAGGGCTGAGCCAGCTGGAATGGGGCTGGGCAGTGCCTGCTGTGGGGCTGGGAACTGGAATGGGGCTGGGCACTGCCCTGCGCAGGGTGTGGGGTCACACACTGTCTGAGCTGGGTTATGGGGTCCCAGTCAGCCCCATATGGGGTCTGAGCTGGGTTATGGGGTCCCAGTGATCCCCATATGGGGTCTGAGCTGGGTTATGGGGTCCCAGTGAGCCCCATATGGGGTCTGAGCTGGGTTATGGGGTCCCAGTGAGCCCCATATGGGGTTCTGAGCTGGGTTATGGGGTCTCACCCTGCCCAGCCCAGCTCTGGGGTCCCACACGGCGCATTTGGGGCTGCAGCTGCCCCAGGTGGGGCAGGGCCGGTGCAGAGGCCGGGCCGGGGGCCAGCAGAGCCACGTGAGCCGCAGCCATCGCCGTTTCCTGGAGGAAAATCCCAGCCCCAAGCACGTGGCCGGGCACTGGGAGCCCCTCCTGACCTCCCCTGCACCTGCCCGACCCTTCCCGAGCGGATCCACCCCGTTCCTGGATGCAACGCTCAGATCCCAGCCCTGAATGCTCCCCCTTTGCTCACGGGATCCCCAAATTCCTAAAGCTCCAGGGAATTCCTAAAGCCCCAAGGACACAAAAACGGGCTTGTGAAATTAAACTTTGTCATTTTATAACCCCCCACTCTCTCCTGTGGTACCGGAGCTGCCGCTGCTCCTCCTGCGGCCGCAGAGGAACCAGGAAGAGCCAGGGAGCAAAAATCCCTGGGAAGGGCCGGGCTCGGTCCCCACCCGGCTCCACACCCCAAACCCGCTCCCCGAGCCGGGATCCCGGCTCCAGCCCTCCCAGAGCCCCTCGGCATGGGGAAGGGATTTGTTTTCCAGCCATGGGATGTGGATGGGAAGGAATAAAACTGGGGGGAAACGGAGCTCAGGGCACGGCAGGGACCGGCCACGCCAAGGACGGCTCCTGACCCTGCCCAGGCTTCTCCGGGCCCAAATCCTGCTGTGGGAACCAGCGGGAAGCTGTGTTGGGATGGAATCTGGGGTTTTAGAAAAGCAGCTTTTTTACTGTTTACTTTTTTAGGTGCCAGGCTCTCCTGGGAGAGGGAACAGGTTCTCATCCCAGGGAATGGGAACAGGTTCTCATCCCAGGGAATGGGAACAGGATGGAAAAGGCTGAGGTGGCACTGCCCCACCAACTCCCCCTCCCCAAGCTCCCTGTGCCTCCCCTCACCTGGCAGTGCCAGGGGAGCCCTGGATGGGGCACAGAGGGGTGGGATGGCTCGGGATCACTGCAGGATCACCCAGGATCACTCGGGATCGCTGCAGGATCACCCAGGATGGCTTGGGATCACTGCAGGATCACCCAGGATGGCTCGGGATCACTGCAGGATCACTCAGGATCACCCGGGATCGCTCGGGATTGCTGCAGGATCACCCAGGATGGCTCGGGATCACTGCAGGATCACCCAGGATGGCTCAGGATCGCTGCAGGATCACCCAGGATCACTCAGGATCACTCAGGATCACCCAGGATCACTCAGGATCACTCAGGATCACTCGGGATCGCTCAGGATCGGCCCTGAGCAGGGAGGTGCCGCGTGGCAGGGCTGGGGGAGCGCAGGGAGGGCTGGCACCCTGCCCCTGCCATTATCTGCATTCCTCAGCTCCCCGGCGTGGGCGCGGCCACAGCAGGGGAAGGGGCAGGAGCCGTGTCCTGCCCCTCGGGCTGCCCCACGGATCCCACACAGATCCCACACGGATCCCACACCGAGCCCCATGGGATGGAGCCCCCAAAGCTCCTGGAAGGGCCGGCCTGGGGGAACCGGCACAGTGGGAACGTGTGGGCAGGCAGGGAAAGGGAATGGGAAAGGAGCAGGGAAAGGGAAAGGGAAAGGAAAAAGGAGCAGGGAAAGGGAAGGGAGCAGGGAAAGGGAAAGGAGCCAGGCTGCCCCCAGGCCCAGGCTGCCCTCGGCAGGGCCAGGGCTGCTCCTGGCTGGGACCCCCGGCCCAGCACAGCCCGGGGAGAGGAGGCGGCGCCCGGCTGCGGAGCGGAGTGAACCGGAGCGATCCAAACAATATTCCCTTTCTTCCGTGCTCCCGTGGCCCAGGCCAGGAGCAGGGGAACCCCCATTAGCAACAGGGCCGGGGCAAACGCCCCCAGGAGCTGCACCGGGGCTGCCAAGGACACGAGTGGGCTCCGGCCTCCTTCCAACCCAGCCTCCACCACCTCAGCCACGCCACCAAACCATTCCCGAGCCATTCCCCTGCTCCTGCCTCCGCCACCACGGACAGACCGAGAGCTGCAGCTCTGTTTCACCCCCAGGTGGGGTTTCCAGCAGAGCTCGTCAAGTCAGGACAGCGAGAAGGTGGCACTGGCCATCGAGCCAGGCCCCTTGTCACAAGTGCTCAAGTGTCACACCCACAAATTGCTCATCTCCCTGGAAAACTTTGGCCTCCAGCCCCAACTTGCCTGTTAGGATGGAAATGAGTTGAGCAGAGAGATAAAATCACCCCGGACCAGCCCTGTGCTGGATTCTGGGGTGAGGGGAGGGCTGGGGCTGGGTGCAGCCCCCAGGTCTGGGTGCATTCCCCAGCTCTCAGTGCAGCCCCCAGATCTCTGTGCAGGCCCCTGGTTTGTGTGCAGCCCCCTGTTTTGGGTGCATTCCCTGGGTCTCAGTGCAGCCCCCCTGCCCAGCCCGTACCTGGTGAATCGGACGTTGCAGATGTTGCACTCGTAGGGCTTCTCCCCGGTGTGGGTGCGGATGTGGCGCGGCAGCTTCCCGGCGCCCTGGATCACCTTCTCGCAGATGGGGCACTTCTGGAATGCTTTCGCCCTGATCTTCTTCTCCACCTTCTGGGACCAGGACGGGTACACGTCGCCCTCGCTGGAACTGCCGAAATATTTCAAGTAATAATCCATGACCCCGTCCTCGTCCTTGCGGTCGTCGTCGCCGAGCTGCTGCCGCCCCACCGAGTTGATCATCTGCTGGAGCAGGGCGCTGGTGGCCAGGTCATCCACCTCCCTGGCGTCGTCCTCCGTCTCCGTGCCGGTGGGGATGAAGCTGGGCGAGTCCCCGGGTTCCTGCGGGTCCAGAGGGCCCCTGGGGGTGCCCCCCTCCTCTTCCCCCGGGGTGGCCAAGCCACGGCTGCTGTAATGTCCGTTCTGGGAAGGGGAGAACATCCCGCCGCTGACCGGCTCCTCGTCCTCGCGGTCCAGCCACATGGCCGGGTTGCTGTCAGGGTCACAGTCACTTGCCTTTGGTCTTTCGGTTGGGGTGGCTTGCGAGTAGAAGTCCAGGCCGTTGCAGTTTGACTCCTCCTCCTCCTCTTGGCCTCGGAAGTTCAGTCTCTGAAGGTCTCTCAACTCTGGGTTGGTCCACGGAAAGCTGCCTTGGTGGCCGTTCACGGGGTTGCTCTGGAAGAACTCCAGGTACTCTTTTGCTCTGAGATGGTTCCTCTGATCAATTTGATCTACTGTATCCATCTGGTCATTTTTGGCCAGAATCTTCCTCTCCAGGAGATCCGTGCAGACATCCCTGACGGCCGGGATCTCCAGCAGCGTGGCGGCGTTGAGGATGTCGTTGACGTTGGAAGTGCTGACGGTGAGGGTCGCGGTGTAGGCGAACTCCAGCAGCGCCGACAGGGCGTCCGCACTCACAAAGTCTATCTCATACACGTTCTGCTGGTCCACCACTAACCCTGAGGTGAAGAGCTTCTTGAAGTACTGGCTGCACGCTGCCAGGACGGAGCGGTGGGTGGGGAACTCCTGGCCTTCCACCAGGATGACCACGTCGCACAGCAGCCCGTTGTTCCTCTGCTCATTCAGGCTGCTGAGGATGTCGCTGCTGTGATCCGGGAACGGGATCCCTATGGGGCCGTCCACGCCACCCGCCATCTTCCACGCTAAAGGCTGTGGGGAAGGAGGGGGACACCGTGAGTCACAGCCTGGAGACGTGGGGAGAACCCCCCAAATCCCTGAGGCGGCACCGCGCGCGTCCCCCGCGCCTCTCCCATCGTCCTGCCCGTGCTCTGCTCACCTGGGGAGGAGGAGGAACAGAGCCCAGGTGCTCTCAAGTGAGAGCAGCCGAATGAATGCAGATCTGGGCCGGAGCAGCAAGCCTTGGCAGGAGCTGGGATCACCTGGAGCGGGCACAGCCGTGCCCAGCGCGGGGCTACGGCAGCCGGAGCCTCCCCAGCACAGCCCAGTCCAGCTCGGGGAGCGTTTCCCGTTCCCATTCCTACTGGGAATGTCCCCGGCTCCCTGACAGCAGCCAACACGGTGATGTCATCCTGGGAACACCATTCCCATCACTCATCCCAGAACACCTGGAGAGGTGCAGGCCGGGAATGTCCTTTGGGAACAGGAGAGGGGAGCCCCAGGCACCCCGAGCTGCTGCTGCAGGGGTTTGACAGGGCAGAGCTGACCCCTGCAACACAAGGCAGCTCCTGCTCCTTCCCCAGAGCAGGGGACAGCAAAGGACACCGGGATCACCGAGTGCCAGCACCAGACCCGGATCTTGGACGGGTTCCAGCAGGAGCAGCAGCTCTTCCCAATGCCAAGGGTTTGTTTGGGACAAGATAAATAAATAAAGGCAACTCCTGACAGATCCACTTGACTCCAAAGGTTGGAAAAACCCAGAGGGATCCTCTCTGCTGAGAAAGGGGCACTGGGGCCCAACTGTGAGCCTGAGCAGCCCCTAAATTCTCCCACAATCTCATTCTCCTGATCCCAAAAATTAGGAACACCATTTCCCTCCTGTGCATCTCAAGCAGCAATTCCACAGGCTCCTTGAAGCAGCGATGCCTTTGCTGGAAAATCAATGTAATTGAATTGTAATTCCCTCCCATCCCAAGCACTGGGATCAGCAGGAGCCAAGAAATCCACGCACAAACCACCCCAGCACAAGGCTGGAGTATCCGAGACCCTGGTTCCCAGGTGGGGAAACTGAGGCACGGCGGGACGTGGCCTGTCCCACGCCACGGGGGGGATGGATGAGTCAGGATGGATCCAGAACAGGAATAATTATCCAGGAAGCAACTCCCAGCCCCGGGTCCCGGCACGGAGCAGGAGCCCAGGTTGCACAACTCCAGCTTCCCCCACCCACCCCCGGCCTCCTCAGTAGTTTTCCATATTTACTTATTTTTGAGAAGTTTTGTTAAGCCCAGAGAATAAGTTTAACTTTGGCACCTTCCTGCTTTTTACAGAGAAAAGGCAGGAGAAGGCAGGTCTGAGGCTGTGGAAAACTGATCTGGAGCAAAGCCCCGGGTGAGGAACAGCAGCGCTCAGCTCCCAGCAGGAACGGGATGGGGGTGAGGAGGAGGAGGGAGGATCCAGGGGATGTGCAGGCACCAGCTCTGCCACCAACACCAAACACCAAAGCCTGAGACAGCCGGGGTCAGCTCCAGAGGCACCTCCCGAGCTCCAGGTCTGACCTTTAAACCCCAATTTCAGGGATTTTTTACATCAGGGAGGAAAAGGCTCTGGATTCGGTGCCAACTTCAGGTGTGACCTTGGGCAAGGTCACCCTATCCCAGCACCCCCAGGGGATCCCAGCTGCGATTCCAGGGAAGCTTTCCTGCCCGTCCCATTCCCAGCGGGGCAGCTCCCGAGCCGCCCAGAACCTCCTGACGGGGGCTGCAGCACACAGGACAGCACATCCCACATCCCTGCCCACCCCAAACGCGGCCCTGGAGCTTCCCCCTCTCCTTCCTCTCCACAGAGATGCTTCACAAAGCTTTTTCTGCCGCCGGCGCTGAACTGGAGCCGCACGCAGCGCTGGGAGCTCCGGGCAGGGATCCCGAGGGATCCGGGGAGATCCAGAGCAGCCAGGGGAGGTCACCCCCACCCCGGGGGCTGGAGAATCGTCCCCAAGTGTGGGAATGGCTGCAGGGTCATGAGACCGCCCGGAGCCTGCTCCAACTCGGCCACCCCGCACACAACACGGCCTTTGTGTCCCGCGCTGCCCGAGGACGGCGGGGGGCAAAGGGGCCGCCCTGAACCCCCAGGAAAGGATTCAGGGCCAGGATGCTCCAGCCACATCCAGAGATGGAGTCCTTAAAACATCTCCCCCATTCCCTTTCCAAAGGGCTGGAATTGCCAACGGGAAACGGAGCGTTCCGAACTCTGGATTTGGGGTTTGGGAACTTCTTGAACCTTCATGAGATGGGCGACTCAAAACAAGTTCCAAACACCCCAAACCCACTCCTTGCTCATGGCAACGTTCCCACGAAGGAAAATGGGCAGAATCCTCTTGGGAATGTCCTGAAGCCAGGTGACAAGTGACAAAAGCCGCTGGCACAGCCACAGCTCGTCCCCTCCCTGGCAAGGAAAGGTCTGAATGGGCCACCAAGGGGGACTGACCTGAATTTCCCAGCAGCTCCACTCCCTCCCTCTTTTCTTCCTCCAAACTCCATTCCTCACCTGTCTCCCCCCAGCCCCAGAGCAGCACCCAGAGCTCAGGAGAGCCCTGAGCTCCTGCCTCCCTCAGCAGGATGTCACCCAATCCCTCTTCTCCTCCAGGAGCTCTGGAATTTGACATTTACATTCAAATGAGACGACCACATCAAGATGGGATCACAACCAAAAGTGCTGACAAAACACCTCTTTAATTACCAGTTTTCCACAGCACCTCAGTGGGTTTTTGTTTTGGCTTTTTTTTTTTCCTTTTCCCTTTGCTTCTTTGCCTTAAAATTCAGAGGAACCTGAGCAGTTTGGGAGGGCTCAGGTGGAAGAGCTGGGTCACAGCTGGAGAACCGGGAACAGCCGATGTTTTCTACGTGCTCCAATCCGGAAAAGATCCCAAAACTCTTCCCAAAGGCAGAGGTGCCGCCCACTGCAGCAGCACAGGTGAGAACTTGAGCAACACCTGGCACCTGCTCGGGGCAGGAAGGGAGAATCAGCATCGCCCTTTCCACGGAGCACGAGGGAAAAACAGCTTTGGGGAATTCTGCCATCCACAAAGCGACATTTCCCGGGAATAGCTGAGCTCTGGGAGATGGATGTTGAGTCTGTAGGATGGAGAGGGACTTTGGACATGGCAGGGCAGGATCAGATGGGAAATCGGGAAGGAATTCCTCCCTGGGAGGGTGGGGAAGCCCTGGGATGGAATTCCCAGAGGATCCCTGGAAGTGCCCAAGGCCAGGATGGAGCAGCCTGGGATACTGGAGGATGTCCCTGCCCATGGCAGGAATATTCAAGGCCCATCCAACCCAAACCAATCCGGAATTTGGGACACTCAGCCTCTCACTCAAGGTGTCCAAGGATCCCAAGCTGCCCTGGGATTTCTTGGAGCAAAGGCACGTGACCAAGGCAGGGCAGCCAGGGAAGAATTAAAATAAAATATTAATATATTCTAATTATTATATTATAAATAAAATATTAAAATAATGGTGCTTTATACAAAAAAAAACCACCCCAGTGGCTGCTGCCCAACGTGATCCCAGCAATCCCTCAGCAGCAGCTGGAGAATCCCATTTTCCCCACAAATCCTCACCTCCCTGTGACCGTGCCATCCCCGGTGGCAGCAGCACGGACACCCCGGGGCGGAGGCGCTGCCAGGCAGCCCAGGACAGGCCCCAGCAGGTCTCCCCTGGCCAGGATCCACCCCAAACTCTGCCGAGGCCTCGGGACCAGCACGGGAGGCAGCAGCAAGGGAAGGAGGTGTTTTGCCTGCTTGGGAGAAGTCACAATTCCAACCACCCCGCAGAGCCACGGAAACTCAACTGCTCCCAACGAGGAATGTGCTGTCAGTGCTTTAGGGCCAAACTATCCCAATTATCTGGACCTGGAAAACAGCTGGATGTTCCTGACAGGAAGACCCTGCACATCAACAGAGGGAACTGCACCGTGGGAAAAATCGAGATTAAAAACCCCCTCAGCACGCTTTTATTTTAAATAAAACTACATTTTCAGTGATGCACTGGAAGAAATCCTTGGTCTTGAGAAGGCAATGAAGCCTTCAGTGGGAATTCAGAGTGAATTCCAGCTTTCTTCTGTCCTGACCAGACATCCCATCTGGGGTAACATGACCAAGATCATGCAGCTCTTGAAGGGAAGAGATGGGAGCAGCAGCAGCGCCCTGCAAACATCCGTGGGCTGCTTTGGACAATCCGGCTCTGTCTTCCAAGCACGAGCATCCATCCCCTCCAGCCCAGCTCTCAACAGGGAAAAGCGACCACAGCTCTGGATTTGGGATGTGGAATCATGGGAATGAGACTGAACCACACAAGGAGGGCTCAGTTGGCTCCCAAAGAGGCTCCAGATCACAGCCCTGACCAAACCCTGCTCCAGGGGCTCCTCAGAGCGCTTGGATCGCTCTGGTCCTTCCAAAGATCACAGCATCCCACTCCTGGTAGGTCCTCTGGACGCTGGAATGCTGCTGCAAGGGCTCTGGAGACCTTCCAGTGCCCAAAGGGGCTCCAAGAGAGATGAGGAGGGACTTGGACAAGCACAGGGAGCGACAGGACAAGGGGGATGGATTCCAACTGAGGGTTGGTTTAGGTGGGATATTGGGAAGGAATTATTCCCTGTGAGGGCAGGGAGGGACTGGAGTGGAATTCCCAGAGAAGCTGTGGCTGCTCCATCCCTGGAAATGTCCCAGGCCAGGCTGGACAGGGCTTGGAGCAGCCTTGAACAGAGGAGGTGTCCCAAAGTCTCAAATTCAAGGTGAAGTGGAAGAACATCCGAGATGTTCCGACAGCTCCTGGGGACTCATGGTGTGACCATGGAACCAAAACAGCCGGGCTGTCCTCACCAGGCCCAACCTGCCAGGGAGGTTTTCCTCTCCCTGCTCTGGGAAGAGGTGCCTGGGCAGCACGGGGAGCTCCAGCTCAGCCACCCCCCTTCCACACCCAGGAAATGTGCCCCAAAGCCTGCAGGTCCTGGGGCACGGATGGACACATCCCTGAAATCCCAAAATCCCAGAATCCCAGGCTGG